TCAGTTTGTCGTGAAAGAAATACAAAGTATACATGCATGAAATGCGCTGTTTTTGTTTGCAATATTTGTGCAACTCCGGGAAAAACTGGCGACTTATCTTATAGTGAGGAAATTAAGAGAATTGCCTTATGTTCAAAGTGTTCAACAGTTGAGCCACCGAAAAATAAAATTCAAAAAACTATATTTTCTTTGTTTAAACCACTTTTAGAACAGTCGCCTGCAGCTAAGTCTATAAATGAAAAAAATGCCAAAGAAGAAACAAGTAAGATCACGGCAAATCCTCGTAAAGTATCAGTATCGACAGTAGAAACTTGGAAGTCGGAGCTCGCTGAGTATTCACTTAGCGAATGGCTATTTTATGACATTGATTCAAATGAAAGAGTAAAAAACTTAAAATGCAAGTTTTGTACAGAGTTTAATGATACAATAAAAACTATGCCATACTATACGAATACATTCATAGTTGGATCAGCAAACTATAGAAAATCGAATATTCTTGATCATTGTAAGTCTCAACCGCACTTAAAAGCATACACTCTTTTTCTTAAAAAATCTAATAATTTTCAAAATGCATCTAAACCTTTATTGCCCTGTAAAAATAACGCAACAATCACTGATGGTTTGAAAAAAATGGAAAAAAACGACCTTGAAAAAACCCTTAAAAAATTTCAACTTTCTTACTTTATAGCGAAACAACAGTTACCTCTTTCAAAGTTTGTTCCAATTGTTAAATTAGTTGAGCTTTTCGGTGTGAATATGGGCGAATCCTATATTTCAGATCGCCAATGCGTTGTATTTATTGACTATATTGCAAGAAGTCTGCAAAATTCGTTACACGATAGCCTTAGAAATGCTAAATTTTATAGTGTATTGTGTGATGGTTCAACAGACAGTTCGGTAATTGAAAATGAAGTGGTGTATGCATTATATTTTGATCCACAGCCAGTTGGGTCGGATGCGGTTGAAATCAGGACTTCGTTTTTAGATATAAAATATTTAGAATCTGGAAAAGCCCAAGGTGTTGTAAAAGTTTTAGAAGAATGCTTTGTAAATTTGCTAACACCTATTAAATGCATTGGTTTTACTTCAGATGGGGCTGCACTAAATAGAGGCGATCAAAGTAGTGTGAAAACCATTCTACGCGAAAGAAGTCCGTGGCTTGTGTTTGTTTGGTGTGTTGCACACCGCTTAGAATTAGCAATTGCAGATGCTTTAAAAGATACAGAATTCGATCTTGTAGATGAAATTATATTACGAAGTTATTGCCTGTACCAAAAAGCACCAAAAAAGCTCCGACAGCTTCGCGAGTTATATACTGTTTTAAAAGACGGGATGGATACGCTTGATGAAAGTTGCAAGCCTAAAAAAGCATCTGGAACACGATGGATTTCTTATAAAGTTAATGCCATGAAGTCTTTCCTTGACAAATGGGGTTTATACATTACCCATCTTGAACAATTAGCTGAAGACCCATCGATTTGAGCTCCTGACAAAGCTAAAATGAAAGGGTATCTCCTAAAATGGAAAAAAGGAAAAATACCACTTCTATTTGCATTTTTTATCGATTTACTCAAAATTCCCTCAATACTTTCAATGTCTTTTCAGGATGATCAAGTTGATCACCTTCAAGTAATGAACTGTCTTACAAAAGCAAAGGAAAGATGGGTATTATTTGAGAAAAAAAGTCTCGAAAATTTGCCTAGAGTTAAAGATTTTCTTTCACAAATCAAAAAAAAAAACGGCAAACATTATTATCATGACATTGAACTTAAAGACTTTGAGCGTGAGTTTAAAATTTTTAAAACAAAAACTGTGGAGTATTTAACAGTAGTCAGGGACTGCATTATACAACGTGTAGAAAATGAAAAAGAAAGTACTCTTATTTTAAAGTATGCATCCCAAGTATTAAATTGCAACGGCTGGCTTCGGGAGGTTATAGCTGAAAGCGGAATCATAACGCGAAATTTAGATTTTGCCGATGAAGCTTTAAATTATATATGCAAACACTTTCAAGAGCCTTTACGCTCTGCTGCTGTTGTTTTTCCAGACATCTTAACTCAATGGAAAGAAATGCTAAGTTATGCTCAAGAGTTTTTATCCCCAGTTGAAACGCAATACCGAATTACCTGGCGACGCATATTTGTATCACCTAGAAGTAAATCATGGACCCCTATTTTAACAGTTGCTGAGCTATTGTTTACTTTGCCAATTTCTAACGCTAAGCTGGAAAGAATGTTTTCAAAGATGAAAAGTGTCAAATCAAATTATCGAACCTCATTGACAGAATCTTGTGTTTCAAATATTTTGCGCATTTTGGAAGATGGTCCATTGCTGAAAGAATTCAATTTTCTTCCTGCAATTGAATTGTGGTGGAGTGATAAAGGAAGACGCCCAAACCAAAAACCAACGGGAATTTATAAAGATCGGGTAAACAAAAAAAGAACAATTACTTCCCTTAGCGACAGTGAAAATGATAGTGGAGAGGATCTTGTGAAATCTCTTTTTGATGACAATTAAAAGAAAAACATATTTTAATTTTGTAAAAATCTTTAAGCTTTAAAATAAATACAAAATACTGGTCTTGCTTTTATAATCAAACATATTCCTGACGAGAAAAGTTCGTTTATGTATAGACATTACGTTTGCACAATAAATAGCGTTAAATAGAGATAGTTAATACCAATACTCTAAAGTAAAAATGGTTAGCGCGATAGCAAACACAACTATTTATTATTATTATTTTATTAAAAACTGTTTTTATTCTTTTAGAAATGTTGTTGTTTTTTTCCAAAAAAGTCACAAGTTTTTAACTTGTAAGTCTAAACATGAAAGTATAACACGTTTTTTTTTTATACTTTCATAATCTAATTAACACCGCAATACTAATGACTAAGGGTGCACTGTTGCATCGGTCTTGGTAACCATCGGCCGATGCCGATTGTTTTGAAAAATGAGTCTTTTTAATTTTGTGTTTCTATATTTTATAAAAAAATATAATTATTATATTTTTTTATACAATATAGAAACAAAAAAATAAAAAAAATTGACTTTTTTAAACAATTGGCATCGGCCAATGCATCGATGCACCCCTACTAATGACCGCACATACCAGTAGTAAATAATAAATCGGATATTAGTTTTATAGTAAAAATATTTTTTATTGAAATTTATCGGTCATGTCCGACAAACCAAACAATTTATCGGACAAACTGTCCGGAACAAAAAAGTACGTTATTTCGAGCCCTGTATATATGTATATATATATGTATATATATATATATATATATATATATATATATATATATATATATATATAATTTATATATATAAATATATAAAAATATATATATATAAATATATATATATTTATATTTATATGTATATTTATATATATATATATATATATATATATATATATATATATATATATATATATATATATATATATATATATATATATATATATATATATATATATATATATATATATATATATATATATATATATATATATATATATATATATATATATATATATATATATATATATATATATATATATATATATATGTATTTGGTTCAAAGTCATATCTTGTTGTACGTGTATATATGTATTTATATATATAAATATACAATAAACATATGTATATATATATATATATAAATATATATATATATATATATATAACATGTAATAAAATAATGACAAATACAAACCTTCACATTGCTGACTAGTATAATTGTAAATAAAACCAACAGGGCAAACACAGTTGTACAACCCAACCAAATTATTACATTTAAGATCATCACCTTTACACAAGTAAGCACATTCATTGATATCTATTTAAAACATTGAAAAGTATATAATTTTAAACCAATCATATAATTTAAAAAAAATATTTAAAATGAGAAAAAAATTAACTAATTCAATAAAAACTTTTAACATTGATTTTATTAGTAGGATTTTTATATTTTATTATTTGCTAAAAATGCAAATAAATCTAATTAAAACATGATCAAAACTATAAACAAATACAAAAACCAAGCACAAACCATCGCATTGAAGGCTAGTATAATTGAAAAAATAACCAACAGGACAAACACACTGAAAGCTTCCATTCAAGTTATTGCAAGTACGATTGTCACTTTTACACAAATGGGCACATTTTTTCACTTCTAAAAAATGTTTTGTAAAAGAATTTCATATAATAACTAATTCAGAGTCTATGACACTTAACATTTTATATAACAGATAATTTATCTTTAAAGAGCCAGGAATATATCCATAATTCACGAAATTGTCATTCTGTCCCTATAAAAAGCATTTCAAAACCTATTATTAATATGTATTGTATACTTCAGCAACAAATCATTTTCTTTAAACGCAACAAAAATATTTGCTTTCTTATAAAGCAAATATTTTAGAGAAATGCAATATCATTTACAGAGTTAAGCTAAAAAAAAAAAACTCATTAAGATTAAAAAATGATTTAAAAAATGCTATTTTTTTTCATTTAAACTTCCTCCTAAAAATGCAAATAATAATACTATATCTTCAAATTAGCTTTGAACATATAACATATAATCATCATATTTTTCTTTTAATTAATTTTTTTTATAACATGCACAATTTTTATTTCTAAAAATATTAATATTTTTCCACTAATGATTATCTAGATTTTTCCATTATTTATAAGCAAATAATTTTCACATTTTTCTTGTTTGCCATAATTGAAACCGTCATTTTGAAAAGGGCACAAGTCCATTCAAACTTTTCAAGATTGACAAAAATAAGTTTATTACAAAAAAAGTCTATGGTGCTAAAGAAAAATAAAGATAAGAGTAGATAAATAAAAGTTATGCATAAGTTTTATAGAGTTATAAAAAGGATGGGTATCCCATCCTTTGTAATAGCTGGAAATTATAACTGACTAAGCAGTCTATAGATTCACGTGTGGTCACTAAACCTGGTGTGGTATTAGAGAATGTGAAATGTGAGACTCGAAATACCAAAAGTAAGTTTTTTGTCCTTGGGTACTCCTTTTCTATAGGAATCCACAGATAGCACAAGTTTCTTATAATGGTTTGGCCACCATTTTTTTACATCAATAATATCTTCAGTTTTGGGCCTTCTAATTTCAAATTTTTTGCTTGCTTCAGCTATAAGATACTCATACTCTGTTGTAAATCTAATCATTTTTTCGAATGTTGCTTTGCTGTTCCAAACATTCTATTGTTTGGCAAGAATGAGTGACCTCTTTTTGGTATGTAATATTGAATCTCATTTATATTGCCATCCATTTCAGCTACCAGTGATAAAAGTATTCGGACCATGGCATGATTTCTGTTTTGGCCTGCATAACCATCAGAAAATATGCATTTTGATCACTGAGATTTACCTCTGTGATCTATAGGCTGCTCTTTTTTTTTTAATAAAATGCATTAACGTCTTACTTGTTTCATAGAAGTTCCATGCATACAGCAAAAAGCTTTCTTGCGTACTTTTTTTATCACACCTTCAATCTTAATGTGATAAATAAAAGAAAATGAGTAAATAAGCAAAAACTTGATAACGAATATAGTCATACTCTATATAACAAAAAACTAACCTGCAAGAAGCTCAAGTTTGACTTGATGCCACATCATTTCCTTTGTAGTTTTTATAAGCTTCTCCAGCAATTTTGTTTTTTTTTATTTTTTTGTGTTTATAATTTCCACTGTTTCTTATACCAGACACTCTTTTTCTAGATCTAAATGCATTTTCAGCAAGTTCGCAATTTTCCATTTTTTTTACAAATAAAGTGAAATTACGTCACTACAGTTGCGCTTCATTTCACTTGAAAAAGGCATAAGTCCGGGACTTATGCCATTTTCAAACAGACTTTAATTTTCATTTGCATTTAAAGTTGACATGTAGCATATCAAAATGTTTCTCCTTCAAAGGGAATATGTAAAACATTTGAATAAATAAAATTGCATTACAAAGTGAAATTTGAAAAAAGTGTGACTTGTGCCCTTTTCGAAATGAGGTGTTCAATTGTTTGAACTTAATAATAAGAACCTAATTTAAAAAAAACACAAACCATCACATGGAAGATTTGTAAAGTTGTTTGAAAACCCAACTGGACAAACACACTGGTATGAACCATGCATATTTATACAAGTATAATTAATAGCTCTGCACATATAGGAGCATTCATTTACATCTACAAAAATAAAATTTATCATTACTTTCTAAACACAATTAAACAAATGATCAATTTAAAAAAGAAAATCAAAACAACAAATCTTAAAAAAAAACACAAACCATCACACTGTAAACTCGTATAGTTGTATGAAAAACCAACAGGACAATCACATGTGTATGATCCAATTAAATTATTACATTTTAAAATTTCTCCTTTACACAGAAAAGTGCACTCATCCACATCTATATAACATAAAGAACACTACAAAATATAAAGAACACTATATAAAGAATAAAATTAAGTGAAACAAGATATAAATTTTTTTTTTTTACCATTTTTTATGTATTTATGAACATAAAAAATAACAAATTTTGTAATATATAAGTATTATAATAAATGAAATAAAAACTTGTAGAAAAAAAGGCAATGATATTAATAATGATAAATTTTTTTAACATGGTAAAAAGCTTCTAAAAAGCACTAAAAATAGTTATATAAATTTTGAATATAAATTGTTCTTAAAAATTATGAAAGGTTTCTCAAGTTAATTGAAAATTTATAAAAATTGTTCAAAATAAGTGTAAAGATCTATTTTGAAAATTGTTATCAAGAAAATGATTTTTGTAAAATTTTATGATTTCATCTTTAATATAAATGGCAAACAAAATCTAAATGAGTATCCAAGCTTTCCCATAATGATTTCAAATAATTTAATATTCTACTTTTATATTATATAAATCTATCTATCTATCTATCTATCTATCTATCTATCTATCTATCTATCTATCTATCTATCTATATATATATATATATATATATATATATATATATATATATATATATATATATATATATATATATATATATATATATATATATATATATATATATATATATATATATATATATATATATATATATATATATATATATATATATATATATATATATATATGCCATGCTTCTAAAAAAAAAATCAAAAACTCCTCAATGATATATTTTTCAAAAAATAGTAAAGGTATATTGTGAAAATTACAGATGTGATAGTTACATTTTGTGGTTTGACTTTGCACATTTTAAAAATATAAGCAGGATATCTTCAATAGCGTGACATTTTGTAAATCAATAAATATATGAAATATATTACAAGATTTTTATACAAATTTTGACTTGAAAAAAAACAACAAACCATCACATTGTGAACTATTATAATTGTAAGAAAATCCAAAAGGACAAATACATGTGTATGATCCAACTAAATTATTACAGGTAAGATTACCACCTTTGCACAAGTAAGTACATTCGTTCACATCTAAAATATAATTTCTTGATTTCAAAAATTATTTATCTATATATCTATATATCTATCTATCTATCTATCTATCTATCTATATATATATATATATATATATATATATATATATATATATATATATATATATATATATATATATATATATATATATATATATATATATATATATATATATATATATATATATATATATATATATATATATATATATATATATATATATATCTATATATATATATACATATATATATATATATATATATATATATATATATATATATATATATATATACATATATATATATATATATATGTGTGTGTATATATATATATCTATGTATATGTATATATATCTATGTATATATATATATATATATATATATATATATGTGTATATATATATGTATCTTTGTATATATATATATATCTATGTATATATATATATATATATATATATATTTATATATATATATATATATATATATATATATATATATATATATATATATATATATATATATATATATATATATATATATATATATATATATATATATATATATATATATATATATATATATATATATATGGTTGTAAAGCTTATATTTTGTAACAAGTCTAATAAATATAACAATTTTTTTCAGTTTTAATAACATGTTTTGATTATACAATAATCATTTTTAAGTATAAACTGTTAAATACAAAAACTATTTAATATATAGTGAAAACAGACATGCATTTAATTTTATTCTTTAGTCAAAACAAAAGATAACATGAAAGGTGTAAAAACTACGTGATTGAATAACGGAAAATGTAGATAATTATTATAATACATACGCCATATTGTATTAGAAAACGTCAATTAGAGCTGGAGTGATAGCGTGTAATTAAAAACTTGTTTATTAAGATCAGGTTTTTCCCACTTAATGTTTAATGCATCTTTGATTTTTAAGTAATGGGAAGTTTGGGCGTATTCTAATACTGAAAAAGAGTCTTTATTGGCTACATTAAAGGAACTCGTTTTTGAATAAATATGTCGATTTATATGAGAAGTTTTTTGTAATTTAAATGTATCTCAATTTTTTACTCAAATATTGAATGGCTTGACCTACTTAACAAGCATTACAGCTTTTACACACAAATTTATATATGACATTTGAGCAGAGATATTGAGGAGTTTTAGCTTTTGTTGAAAAATATGTATTAATTTTATAGGATGAGAATGCCAGCTTAGTATTAAGAGTTTTACAGTGTTTTTTGCATAAATCATTTATTTTGTTTTGAAATTGTTTTGAAATTTTACCAATATACAGCATTTTAAAGTAATTTATTTTTGAGGAATCGACAATTTCTTATTTTCTTTTTTATATAGTTTAGGTAGGTTTTTAAAATACAATCAATTAGTTTAATTGGGTAAAGGTTTTTTTGAAGAATATATTTAAGTTTAACTTAATCAGGCCATTTGTTATTAGTTTTATCTATTAAGCTTTTTATCATGCCAATTAAGTATGAAATATCGGTAAAACTTAAGTAATTTGTTAATAGACCTGAGAAAGTCTTTTTTCTAAATATGCTGGTAGTTAAGTTATACTTGTTGTCAATAAGAATATCTAAAAAAGTTAATCATTGATTTACTTCTTTTTCCATGGTAAATTTTATATTTTTGTGTTAATGATTCATAAAATTAAAAAATTTTAAAGAATCCGTCTCATTTTTAAATAAATAATTAAATTAATATCTGTTTTCACTATATTTTAAATAGTTTTTGTATTTAACAGTTTAACTTAATTATAATGTATTTAACAGTTTAACTTGAAAATAATTATAAATAATTATATATATCTATGTATATATATATATATATATAATTATATATATATATATATATATATATATATATATATATATATATATATATATATATATATATATATATATATATATATATATATATATATAATATAATTATATATATATATATATATATATATATAATATATATATATATAATATAATTATTATATAATCAAAATATAGTATATATATATATATATATATATATATATAATATAATTATTATATAATCAAAACATGTTGTTGAAACTAAAAAAATATTATATATATATATAAATATACAGTAGCGTGCTAAAGTTTAGAAACATCTTTTTTTTTTTCAGATTTTACTGCATAACTTTATTGTTCTATATTATTTCAATTTAAAAAACAAACCATTAAAGTTGTAAAATTGAACGGATAATTAACATTTAATTTGTGGTTGGTGCAGCACTCCCTGCGATAGCTGCAGCAGGGGGTGCACCAGTACTGCGTTTGGACTGAGGGGGGGGGGGGGTGTGTGAACATCTTTTAGAAGAGAAGAAAACTGATGATTTTTTTTTATTCCAGTGTATTTAATGAGTTAAATGATTTATAAAAGCTAATTCGTTAAAAGTATACATATATGATAATTTTTAAGAATTTTGATTATTTGATCTTTTAAAAGAGGCAGAGTAAACTAATGGAAAGTTATTTGGCTCATGACCAGAATATAAGGGTTCGAATCCTTTGTCTTTATTTTTAAGTTAAATATTTAAATTATAAAAAAAGAATAATCAGTAAGAATAATATTAAATAATATTATTATATTTTTTTCATAAATGATTAAACCTAAAATGAACTGAAACATCTTAATAAAGATAAAATAATACTATGAAAGTTAAGCAATTGAAATCATAGTTTTTTCTTTGAATTTACAAAATTAGATAATTAATTATACCTATAGAACTAGTACTAGTAATTAATAAATAATCTATATTAAAAAATGAAAATCATTTACCTTATATATAATGGGCTTATAAAATAATATAGTTTAAATAATTATATAATATAATAGTTTATATAATAATAATTATATAATAATAATAGTTTAAATAATTTATAAAGTTATTTCCGAAACTTAATGGTTTAATTGTGAATAATTTATAGAATGAACCAATAAATGATAAAATTTTTTGGATAATTTGCAACTGGCAGTGAAAAACTAATCAACTCAAAAGACAGCTGGTTTTTCATGAAATTTATATAAGTAATTTTTTTTTAAAAAAAGCAGTTATTTAATGCAAAGATTATTTAACAAGTAAAAAACAATTTATATCCAACATCAATAAATCCTATAAACATTTAGAAACAAGTTTATGATTTAGAAAAAAAGTAAATAAGCTTAGAATCAGCTATATTTTAAAAATTGCGTAAAACTTTACTTTAGAAAAATTATAACTTTACGATATATTCAAAATGATAATATCATTTTATGTGGAAAATCGAAATAAAATTTTTTTCAACATGTTATGACAATTTTAAAAGAGTAATATTAAAAGTATTAGTAAAATTAAAACTATCCTATTTTTTTATTAATTTAATAAATTGATTAAGGTAATACAATTTCACAGTTTATAAGGAATATATTAAAATATTTTTCAAGAAAATTTTAATTTATTTTTTGTAAAAATCTAAATCAAGTTGGGATAAATAATAAATTAATTTTTTCTTAAAGAAACTAGGCAAAATAAAATATTGACTGTTTACCAAAATACATAGCCCCCTAAAATATTGAAGGTGAAACCTGCCCAATGATATAAAAAATAATTGTAATCTAATTTAAATAATATTAAATGGAAGCAGTAATTCTGACTGTAATAAAGTAGCATAATTAGTTGTCATTTAATTGATGGAGAGAATAAATGGTTACACAAATTTTTTAGTCTTTAGAAAAAAAATTTTAAATTGAAATAATAGTTAAGGTACTATTTAAAATTGTACGGTGAAGATGAAGAGCTTTACTATAAGCTTTTTTTTTTTTAAATAATATTAAAATTAGAAAGTTTGGTAGTTTAGTTTGTTTTTCAAAAATAACAAAAATAAGCAATATAATAAATTTATTTATTGTAACTTAAACAATTTAACAATTACTATAGTAGACTATAATGATTAATTTCTCACAGAATAGAATTTGATTCTTATATGGTTCCTATTGCAGATTTAAATCAAGGTGATTTTAGATTACTTGAAACCAATAATGATCTTGTTTTACCAGTAAATACAAAAATCAAATTGATTGTTTCAAGTGCTTTCATTTTTGAAATGTTCCTTCTTTAGGCGTAAAAATAGATGCAATCTCAGGTCACTTAAATCAATTAAATTTTATTATTAATAGACCTGGCTAATTTTTTGGTCAATGGTCAGACTTATGTGGTCTTAATCACTTTTTTATGCCTATTTCTATTTACTATGTTTCTCAAGAAAAATTTTTAAAATGATTGATTAATAAAACTTAGAATGTCTCAATTAGGTTTATCTTTATATTTTAATCATTATCTTGTTTTGTTGCTATTATTTTATTTATTAGTAATTTTATTAAGTCTAAGATTTTTTAGTAAGATTTTTTATTATTTTAGGATTTTTTATTATTTTTATTATTTCTTTTTTATTAAGATTTTTTTTAAATTTTAGTTTTAAATATAAGAAATAATTTTATTTCAAATAATTTAGAATCAAGTAAAAAAAATTTTAACATTTTTTTATATTACATAATTTACTAAAACTATAATTTCTTCTTATTTTGATCATTTTTTAATCACTAAAATTTTTGGGTTTTTATATGACTTTCACTTTATTCATATTAATATTATCTGTATTTATAATTTTTATAGCTCTAAACTTTAGTTTTATAATTCCTTCAAGAATTCAATTGTTTTTTGAAATGATTATTAATCACTTTTTTCAAATTGTAAAAGAAAATTTAGGAAATAGTTCTCAAATATACGTTTTTATCAACCTTATTCTTTTATCTTCTATCAATAAATTTATTTTTTATTTTTACTTAACCATCTACTACACATATTTCACTAACTTTTGGATTATCACTTTTTATATAACTATCAATAATAGTATTTGGATTTTTTAATTTCAAAAGTTCTTATTTAAGTATGTTTATGCATACT